CGTTTCATCTCTCTCTCTTTCTGTCTCTGATAAGTACACGTGCCCTGTAACAAAATAAAGAAAAATAATAATAGGGACCAGCAGTTAGTGTAGTGGTTATGTCACTGGACTCCCATGTAGCCAACCACAGTTCAAGTCCCGGACCCAGTGGCTTGAACTCATGCCCGGCACATGTGCGTACGTGTCCAAGATCCCGAGAGGAGAATGGAGGAGAAGGGATTATAGCGTAGCCATCCCCCTAGGGGGCTGATTTCTCACTTTCTGTCTCCCTGTCTCTCTCTGTCTTTTTGGCAAGTGTACGCACCCTGTAGCAAAAACCTCTCAAATATATAAATAAATAAATAAAATAACGACAAAATAACCATCTTGAGAATGCTCAAAAGCATCTCTGGGGGATTTATGAGCATCTGTAGATATAGATACAATATATCTACGCCCACTTTAACCAAAAAGAATCGGCCCCCAAATTTTACTAATAAATGGCTCAAATAGTAGTTTTAACAAAAAAGGCAGTTGTAGTAGACCCCAGACTGCTCCATCCAGATCCCCCTTCATTGAAGGGCAGTCACTCAGGTGTCAGGAAGGCTGTCATCTCTCAGCCCCTTCAGGGAGGACCTCAGCTGTAGAGGCCGCCTCACCAAGATTACGCCCCTTAAGGTACAGGCCACATCCAATGACTGATGAACAGAAGTACAGAATCCTAGCCTCCCATCTTAGCCCAACCAAGGACAATTCTGGACCTGACTTTTTCTAAACACAAGTCATCTTTACCTGGACTTTGACAACACTATTAATATAACATAGGTTTTAAGTATCCTTTGTTGGGGACCAGCAGGTGGCATAGTGGTTGAGGCGCTGGACACGCCCACATGGCCAACCATGGTTCAAGTCCCAGACCTGGTGGCTTGCTTTCTCACTTCCTCTGTGTGTGTGTGTGTGTGTGTGTGTGTGTGTATCAAATAATAAATGAATGAATAAATAAAATTAAAATTTAAAAAAAAGTAAAACTGGAATTAACAGTTGGCATAATGGCTATATCGCTGGACTCCCATATAGTCAACCGCAGTTTGAGTCCCAGACCTGGTGGCTTAAACTCACGCCGAGTTTGTGTGTGTGTGTGTGTGTGTGCGTGTCCAAGATCCTGAGAAGAGAATGGAGAAGGGATTGTGGCATATAAAATTAAATTAATAATTATAAAAAAAATTATTTAAAGTATCCCTTGTCCAACATGCTTAGGACTAAAAGTATTGCAGATTTTCTCAAGTTTTAGAATATCTGCATATACATAATGTGATATCATGGAAATGAGACCCAAGTCTAAGCATGAAATTCACTTATGTTTTATATATTCATTATACATACAGCCTGAAAGTAATTTTATACAATATTTTTGAGTCGCAGCACTTTGACGATAACTTGAGATCAAGTGCGAAATTTTCAACTTGTGGCGTCATGTCAGTGCTCAACAAATTTCAGATATTGGAACATTTCACATTAGGGATGCCCAACCTGTTTATAAGTTTATATGGTATGTCTCTGTCTTATTTTTAATCAGGTGTTCGAACCCAGAGGGAAATTCTGACCAAGTAACCTTCAAAAGATTAGGGATGTACTTCAGGAACTCCCATGTGAGGCAGGATGCTGCCCAGTAATAGAATTTACAGGTAAGAAATTGTACATTGGGCTTGTAACTACTTCATATTCTCAGGTTACCAGAAACTATAGAAGAGTAACAGTCTCCCCTCTAAAGCCAATTCACCTTGTCTATTATCACAAGGTTCCTAATCTGAAATAATATGTGAACTGTGGTCCACTTCAGAAAGAAACTAAATTCGTCCCTCATGTTCCATTGTGTGTTAACACAGCATATGTAACTCTTTAGCAGTTCTGTCAAATGCTACTTCTCAGGGTAGTACACGGATATGTGTACAGGATTTTCAAGGGCTGGCACATTCCCACAGAACCTCATGCAGTACTAAAATAGCAGATGCTGTCAGCTGCTGTACAAGTAAACAGACCTCCATGGGTTTAGAGGATTCCTGTCTCTGCTTTCTTCTCCTTTCTGTTCCCTACTGGGGGCACTTCATTGCTGACACCTCCTCCATCATATGCCCACAAACTATATCTGCTCCTAGGGAACCAGCAGTTAGTGTAATGGCTATGTCACTGGACTCCCACATAGTCAACCGCAGTTCGCCTCCCGGACCCGGTAGCTTAAAACTCACGCCAGGCACGTGTGCGTGCGTGCCCAAGATCCCGAGAGGAGAATGGAAGAGAAAGGATTACGGCGTGGCCATTCCCCCTGGGGGGTGATTTCTCACTTTCTGTCTCTATGTCTCTCTCTGTCTGTCTGGCGAATGCACACACCCTATAGCAAAAAC